ATAAACGATGACATTTTTGTGAAGAGGCTGTGTGTGTGTACTTCACGAGTCGTGCAAAGTAATTTGCAATGTGGAATTGGAGGATGGTGAAGGAATAAAAATAGGTTGAGCCTCTTCCTGTCTTTATTGTAGGGCAGGGGAGGGGAACTACTGTCCCAAGGGCTACATGTGCTTCATCAGGGTTAGCTGCTGGTGGGCTGCAAGATAGTGAAGTTACTCACCTTAGTGATATAGCTGTCGTTTTTCAAGATGGTGTCCCTGTGGATTCTCCACTGTTGGTGCTGGGCTTGCCCTGGCGCCACAGATGGAGAATTTTCCAGAAGTAGTAGTTGGCCGGACTGCGCATGCGCCGCTAGTCACGGTGTTCGTACTCTTTTCTCTGTGCGCCGTCCTGCCCCCGCCAGTTCCTCGAGGCCGCCTCGAAGTCTGAAAAAGAAAGCAGAAAACGGACTCCGAAGCGGGGAGGAGTGCGGGCAGTGGAGCACCCGTGGGGGACACCATCTCGAAGAATGACAGTTATCTCACCAAGGTGAGTAACTTCGCTTTCTTCTTCGAGGATGTCCCCCCGAGTGCTCCACTGTTGGTGACTGAGTAGCAGTAGTCACCACAATGGAAGGAGGGATCCGGAGTCCCTATTTATTCGCCGTGGAGAGAACCGCAGTCGTCAGAGCCCCATCAGACGCCTGAAATAGAGAACAGTGTCTAGCAAAGGTCTGGTGAGAAGCCCAGGTGACTGCCCTACATATGTCCTGCAAGGGAACCCCTTTTAAAAATGTGGTGGACTCTGCAATGGCTCTAGTAGAATGAGCACGAGATGGAATGGGAAGTGGAATATGCTTCTTAAAGGCGATCAAGAGGAACTGGCGGGGGCCGGACTGCGCACAGAGAAAAGAGCGCGAATGCCGTGACTAGCGGCGCATGCGCGGTCTGGCCGACTACTACTTCTGGAAAATTCTCCATCTGCGGCGCCGGGGCAAGCCCAGCACCAACAGTGGAGCACCCGCGGGGACATCCTCGAAGAAGAACGTTTGTTTACTAAGTGTCCACAGGCACAGAGCCCTGCAGCTCTCAGTTGATATGGTTCAACATTCCAGGCCAATGGGAGCTGTGGGAAGTGGTGGCCTGTCCTGACAGTTCCCCATCCCTGTTATAGGGGGTAGACCTAGACTGTTATTATTCCCCCCTCTGATTTACCATCTCCTTGATGAGTGAGTTGGGGATAGGATGAGTAAAAAGAAATTCAGTCCCTTTGGCCAAGATATAATAATTTTTGCCTGAGCATTTGCAGGCATCTGCCATATAGTCTTAGTGGGATCCCTTATGGCTACATTAATTGGCAATACTATTTTAGCCAATGGGGATGAAGGCAGAATGTCTGTGTACTTATGCTGGGTTGCAGGGAGCTGCTAAGAGTGTCCACAACCCTTTTTAAAAGGTCCTGAAAAGATATGAAGAATCTGATGAATTGGCATGATGGTATCATCAGGAGAGGAGGAGAAGACATGCATTGGGGTAAGTTGGAGACTCCTAGTCCTGGTCCAAGGGTACCAGTATGGCTGGTTAATTGGAGGGACCATAGGGGGTAATAGCCAGGAGTGCTGTGAACATGCACAGATGTCCACTGGCTGATAGTGAGACCAGATTTAGGAGAGGAGTGTCGAGGTATATGCAGGCCTGGTTTGGTCTCCTCCACCTCATCGCTGGAGAATGGTGGTGACAATGGGCTGGGGACAATGGCATGGCTCTTTGCCAACCAAAATGAGATGCCATTGATACTGAACAGGGGAGTGATGGGCACAGAAAAGAGAACCAGGTCCACAGGTCTAATGAAGAGTTGTGGTACCAAGAAGATTGGCTCTGGGGATGGCAGTCATTATTAGTGCATGCTGTCGATGCCGAGATTTTGCAAGGCTGTGAAGTTGCAGGAGATGGCACTACTTCACCAGTAGGTGCTAAGACAAACTTTGACACTGTTGGTGTCAAGCTGGGGGGCTTGGTTTTTGCTCTCGCACCACCATGAGAACCTGCCTGTGAGAGAGTGTCTCTTCCGGATGTGCAGATGTGCCCAGTGCTTTAAAGTCTGAGATTTTTGGTACCATCAGTACTGAAGTAGATTTCATGCCTAGAAACCATTTTAATTTACACGTGTCTTGGTGTGGCAAGGATTGTGTTAGGATTGAAAGTTTTATTCTTTTTTATATTTGTATTTTAGGTTTAGTAATGTAAGGCAACATATAATCATATTTAAGATTGTAGTAAGTCAAAATCTTTAGTAAAGTATACATCGCCTATATTTCCTTGTTCTAAAGTATTAGTAAGTAAAGAGGCAGGATCTAATATTGTGTCTATGTTAATGAAGATTATAACAATGTTAAAGGCTGAGCCTTAATTGCTTGATTTATGACACTTCTTTGTCTTACCAATACAGATGCTGATGTGCCGCATAGCCTTGAAAGTCTTTGTAACGTTGCTTATGTGTGTGAAAGGGGTATGAATGTGTCGAGATAAGGTGCAAAGTTATTTCTCAGAACCAGATGGCCAAGGAAGGAGGGGAGCAAGCATGGGTGAAGACGAGACAACCTGGCTACAGAGAAGCCATCTATAACCATTGATGCGTACCCCGACTCAAGATGATTGGATATTGGCAGATTGATGAGCCTTGAAGCAAGCGGGCACTCCCGAAGGACAACTGATTATAGGATGAGCCTTGGAAAATGTTTTGGGAACACTGACATCAAAAAGATAATGTTCCGGTCACAGAATGACACAGCGGAATACATTGATTTAAACAGAGAAAAGGATTATAAAAGCAGGGTGCTTTGCTATGGAACTTTGGGTTCGTCTTGCCAGCACCAAATCCAGAGGAGCATCGGATCCATCAACCGACAAAGGCCCTGATCCCCTGTGTTCAATCTAGCTGGCCACTAGATTGATACAGAATCTGGACTGTATGCATGATGTTTTGTGTGTGTGTGTGTGTGTGATTGCAAAGCATAGCCAACTATTGTATTCTCAATTAATGCAGCATACTGCCTTTTCCCCTATAAAAGATCTCATGTGCTTTGTTTAAACATAACAATCGGGCCGGAAGTTTGATGTCCTTTCTGGGGACCAGGGTCCTTAGCTACAATGTGGAAGTGGAGCCCTTGTATTAGCAGATGTAGATGACTACCATGCTGGAGACATTGTGGATTCTAGGTCTGAGAGAAGTTGCAGGGATTTCTCCATCATGAATAAATTGAGTTAGAGATCATGAGCTTTTAATATCCTGACCATAAGCTTTTTATAATGGAGAAACACTTGAGGGATGAGCAAAGGATGCATTGAGCATGTCTATCTGAAACTAGTATGGCTAACCTGCAGGAGAGGCAGCATTTAAATCTAGGCAAACATGGCATAGCTCAGCGCCATCCTGGTGGATTGAAGAGGACCAACGGGATGGCCCATTGTAAACACCTGGCAGCAAAAAGATCCACTGGTGGCTGAGAGATAATGAAAATCATACTGTCCCCTGAAGGGAAAAAGTAAAGAAAAGGTAAAAAAAATTGGAAGGTAATAATAATTGGAAAGTTGAGGTGTTGATGTCACTCCCACTGGGAGTCAGTTGGCTGTGCACATGGGGTAGCCCCTCATTGCCACATGAGGTGGCCTCTGTACATGCGTGGCCAACAAGAGCACTGCCACAAATCTCCAAGTGGAAGCACAAGGGGCTAAAACACGTAAGGTGGTGCACCCACAGGGACACTCCTTGAAGAAGCTCTTGTATATACGTGACAAAAATTCAGAACCTAATTGTGCAAGTCTTACTCACATAAAAAAATCTATGTCCAAGATATACCTATCTCATAGAATTGGAAGGGACTTTGAGAGGTCATTGAGTCCAGTCCCCTGCCCTCATGGCAGAACCAAGTACCATCCCTGACAGACTTGCCCCAGATCCCTAAAAGGCTCCCTCAAGGACTGAACTCATAACAAGGCAAATGCTCAAACCACTGAGCTATCCCTCTCCCCGCCCAGGCTCTGTCCCTGTGAGTCCTGGCCTTGAGTTTGGTGCAGTGAAGATAATCTTGATGTGAATGATGTTCTCTCAGACATCTGAAATATTGTGAATGTCCGTCGGAAATAGGCATTGCCTCTCTGCAGCGCTTAAAGCCTGGAGAGCCAGGCATAGTGAAAAAGGTGTTTTGAAAGACTTAGTAACAATTAATGAACTAACTACACAACCAGAACTAACTAAGAAACTATGAAAACTACTTCAGAAATGTCGAAGAAAGCAGAGAACTATGGAGCTCTGTCTCAGGCCAAGGGCAGTTGAGAAGGATCTAGAGAACTAGGGTCATGCGTGCTTGGATGCATGCCAATTGGCACCATGCATGCACAGCCCACGCAAGGACTGCTTCAGAATCTCTGATCCAGGCGCTGGGGGGGGCACCAAGACCAAGCATGGAATATCCATGGGGACCTCTTCAAGAAGAAGTGGTGGCTGCTGATTGAGTGCCAGGCTCTGCACACAACAGTAAACCTGGCAATACCATACCATGTCATCCTTGCTGCTGCTGGTGCCAGTTCTGCTTTCAGCGCTGTGCTTTTGGCCAGCAGCTGCCACTCTTCAAATATCTGGCTCTGAAGTCAGCAGCAGCATAAAAGTAAGCGTAGCAGTACTACAACATCCCCTACAATAACCTAATTACAACATCATGACATTTCAGATTTAAATAGCTGAAATTACATTTTTTTTAAATTCTATGACCATGACATTAACCAAAATGGACTGTGAATTTGGTAGGGCCCTCATAATAATTTACAGATTTCCTGGCTGAATTAGTTAATATTCTAAGCTTCTTCAAAGTAGTGCTTGCCCAACCTCTACTGACATATCCTAATACCTTTGCACCCAATTTCTCTACAGAAGTTTTGCCATCATTGTTAAATGGAAGCAGCATCTGGCCTTTTGGACAAAGATAAAAAAGGTCTGTAGTATGACTATTTCATATGCTTACTCCTGTAGCTTCCAGCAGCATGAAGGCCAAGGTCAAGAATCTGTGAAGGTAGGAATCCAGAAGAACTAGGCAGAGGTTCTGACTCTATAGGAGTATTCTGAAAAATGCGATTGGTATGAGGACTCCCAGACACATTTTGACATTCCTGTGTGATCTGTCCAGCACTTGAAGAACAGGGACTCAATACGTTATCCAGGAATGACAGCTGTTTCTCAAAATCTTCTCCCTCCAAAGAATCTACCAGCAAATTGCTTGAACCTTAAAGAGAAAAGAAAACAAGTTGGAAGAGTATTTTTTAGAAGATAATAGCACAGACTATGGTCTTTATGATTACAAAATTCCTGCTAAATTTTTTATTCTGCTCTGTTAAAGCGATGTACCCATAAATTCATTCTGACTTATATTTCTGTTACTGAAAGCAGGATTTGGCCCAAAATATGAATTCATACCGACTAGAAGACAACATAATGCATTGTGTACCTCATTCAGGACTCAGTCCTGTGTAGTTTTACTAAAGCTAGTGGGTCCCACCAGCTCTGCTCATGTAGGTCAGATTGCAGAATTAAACACTAATTTTGTAGGAAATTGATTTGTAATCACAAGATGCAACTATAGCTTTTTTTTAAGACCATTTTTCATGTGGACCATCTTGAAAGTTCATGCAAATCCTAAACATTTAGTAATAAAAATAATATGGTTATTTTAGAATGTAAGTTTATAGTAAACATGAGCAAACACATCACCATACAGTCATTGCAATAGCATAATTTCCTTGAAGTATGAGATTTGCACACCAAGATATTTTCACCATCAATTTGAAGTGTACATATGCTTCTCTTCACAATCTATTTTAATGACTGAATACAGAATGAACTGAAGAAGAGTTCTGTGTATGCTCAAAAGCTTGTTTCTTTCATCAGTATCAGGTCTAATAAACAATATTACCTCACCTACCTTGCGTGATACTCTACGATTCAAATATGACTACATATATAATTATCATCACTATTATATAACTGCAACAAATCTTGTACAAATTATGTCATGTAAGGTGTCAATGTAAAAGTTATGATTTGCTATGTATAATGATCCTGTTTATATGAACGTATCATTTTTGTATCTGAAGTTATAAATATTGGCTCCAGAATTGTATCTCAAATATACAATTCCTGGGTAATACCCACAAGGTAAAATATTGTAGCCAGACATTTTTGTGCTGATGACCTATGAAAGGCAATTGATTCTCACATTTGGAAGAAACTTGTCCCAGCAATGTGGAAGGAGCACCCTTGCCCGGATGGAGACATAGTTGATTTCTATGTATTCTAAGCCCTGTAATGTTGATTTTTGTGCACTGGAGGTCCAAATACTCAAATAGATCCAGTGTGGTATGGGTGATTCATTGGACTTTGGCAAAGGAACAGACTGTGAAGATACAATTGTCTAGGTAAAGACAAACCATGATGCCCTTGGTCCATTGCTACCAAGACAACCTTAGAGAATACAAGAGGGGCTCACAAGAGCCCAGAAAGGGAGTGGTCTGTACTGGTAGTGGTCTTGGCCTAATATCTCAGTTTTAAACCTTAAATATCATCTGTGACTTGGTATGATCAAAATGTGAAAACTTGCATGTGGAAGGCTGAGGGCAAAAAAATCTGTTTTCCTTTTCTGATATTACAATAATTATTCCTAATGTGACCATCATGCACTTCTGAGCCTGGACAAACTTGTTGAGTGTTCTGAGATCTGGTGTGGGCCTCCAACCTCCCTTTTTTCAATATTAGGAAATAATGAGAGCAAAAGCCTTTGTCTCTTAGATGTGGGGACTGGCTTTATGGTTCCTGTGCTGAGACGGCAGTAAAGACAGTAAAAGAGGAGGCTCTCATGAGAAAGGTCCCTGAAGAGAGATGGAGAGGTGAAATGAAATACCCATCTCAAATGATCTCCAGCATCCATTTGTTGGAGATTATCCATTCCCAGGTGCTGCGGAAAGGGGTGCGATGGCATCCAAAAGGATGGGTGAGGTTTTTTAGCATCAGGTGGTGTTGAGGAGGGTCTTCTATGGGCTTCTTAACCAACCTATCAGAACTAACTTTTTGAAGTGGAAAGTTGAGAGGAAGTCGGTTGATATCCTTGTGGGGAAAATGGACTTCTTCCTTGGAGCTTCATATGACCTTTTAGATGAATATTGCAATGAGCTGTGGGAACAAATCATTGTTTTGCCTATGTCAGTTTTTTTAAAGCTGTTTAGTTCAAAAATGTGTTTTCAAGCCTTTTGCATGAAAAAGTACACAAATTTGGCCAAACTACGAGCCATTGAAAATGTATTTGCATATGCTCAGTAGAAACTTGTTAGAATTTGGCCACTAAATGTTCAGAAGATTCCAGTGGACTGAATATCTTCTAGCCCAGCACGATGAGTCTGAGCAGGACTATCCCTGAAATTGCTATTGTAGCACTGTGCACAGGAACTGAAAGCAGGATGATCGTCTCATTCCTCACCAGACAATGCGGAGGAGGAAGCTGCTGAGTTGATTGCAGAAAGGACAAAAGCTGGACTTAGAAACCTAAATGGAGGAACTGGGACAGGGAACTGAGGGGGAAGCTAGAACTCGGGAGTTAAGGAGACTGTAAACTAGTATGGGCTGGAGGGTAGAGAAAGACTAGAGAAGGTGACGAGGAAACGGGCCGCCATTGTGGGAGGGAGAAGGAAGGCAAGGGGAACTTGGAGCCTAAGATTGAACAAGCAGTTGGGGAGACTGGGACTATGAGTCTGGGGTGGGGGAAGACAGAGGATGGCTAGACAAAGAGACTGGAACTGGAATGAGGAGTCAGGGAAGAGACAGGAATGAAACAAGCTGAGGCTGGAGGTGATGAATCAGAAGTCAGGCTTGGGAGGATTAAGCAGAAGAATTTGTGATCACTAGACATACTGCCCTTCAAACCTGGAATGGTTGGGGAATAAAACCAAAAATTCTAAAATGTCAACATTCTTCTGCTTTTTAGAAAATACCGGTGAAATGCCCTGTCAAAGTTTGTGTCTCATTCTCCTTGGTGACTGGCTCACATAAAGGATGACCATCTACTACCGGTATTGGTTAGCTCAAGCAGCAAAGGTCTCTGCTATGGATCAAAAGGTTTCAATCCTGCAAATGATGCCTTTGGGTGTTGTTATGATTGCATATGATGAAATATGAAATTGTTACTCACCTTGTGAGTTCTTCTGTTCTTCGAGATGTGTGTCCCCGTGGGTGCTCCACTGAAGGTGTCAGGCTCATCCCGGTGCCGCAAACCGGAGAGTGTTTGCCAGCAGTAGCCCCCTCCGGAGGACCGCGCATGCGCAGAAGTGCCTCGCGCCATTCGCGCTCTTTTCTGCGTTGAGCGGTCCAACACGCCAGTTCCTCCTAACCGGAACATCTGTAAGATACAAACATAAGAGTTCCGAAGCAGGGAGGAGGGTGAGTCGTGGAGCACCCACGGGGACACACATCTCGAAGAACAGATGTTACTGCACAAGGTAACAATTTCTTCTTCTTCGAGTGATGTCCCCGTAGGTGCTCCTCTGAAGGTGAGTAGGAAGCAGTAGCCCAATCAGAGACGCCGTGCTTCGGAATTATCTGTGCCAGAAGAGAGAACTGCTTGAGCGACTGCTATGACTGTAGCCCTAAAGCGATCCAGGGCATAATGCCTAGCGAAAGTAAACAAAGATGACCAAGTAGCCGCATGGCATATGTCTCGCAGGGGAACGTTCTTCAGGATGCTCCTGGTCGAGTGTGCTTTTGGTCTACAGGGCAGGTGTCTGCCGCGGATGGTGTAACAGCGAGTGATGCAATTCACAATATGTGAGGAGATGTGCTGTGAGGAGATCTGTTGGCCTTTAGAGCGGGTTGCCAGGGATAGTAGTAGGCGTGAGGACTTTCGAAAAGAGCGCGTTCTGTCCAAGTAGAATGCAAGCGCTCTCCTGATGTCTAGTGTGTGCAAGCGTGCCTCCTCGGGGTTAGCATGTGGTTTCGGAAAGAAAATGGGAAAAACCATGGGCTCGTTGACGTGGAATGATGAATTGACTTTTGGCAAGAAGGCTGGGTGACAGCATAATATAACCCCCTGTTGGGTGAATAACGTATACGGAGGATCGGCGGAAAGTGCTGCGAGTTCAGAAACGCGGCGGGCCGACGTGATCGCCAGGAGAAAGGCGACCTTAGTGGTGAGAGTCCGCATGTCACAAGTTGCCAGCGGTTCAAATGGTGGCCGAGTAAGAGTGTCCAATACCAAGGTAAGGTCACAGGGCTCAGGAGTGGGCCTGTATGGTGGGTAAAGGTTGGTAAATCCTTTCATGAACCTCTTTGAGAATGGATGTGCAAAGACAGAAGATCCATCTACGGGAGAATGGAAGGCTGAGATTGCAGCCAAATGAACCTTAAGTGAAGTAATCGCCAAGCTCTGTGAACGTAAGCAGAGCAAATAGTCCTGGATGGATTGTATAGGTGCCCTTCGAGGGTCCGTGTCCTGTGAGTGGCACCACGTCTGGAAGCGTCGCCACTTGTAGAGGTAAGATCTCCTGGTGGATTGGCACCTGCTTTGTATGAGGACTTCTCTGACTGCTTGGAGCCAGTCAGGCTGTTAGGTGCAGCCGGTTGACACTGGGGTGGAGAAGGGTGCCATGCTGCTGGGAGAGGAGGTTGGTCCGCTGCAGAAGTTGGAGAGGCTGAGACATCGACATGTGCATAAGTTGCGGCAGCCAAGTCTGGCGGGGCCAAAAAGGAGCGACCATGATTACTGTTGCTGTGTCCGCCAGTATCTTCTCTATCACCCGAGGAATGAGGGGAATTGGGGGAAAGGCGTATAGAAGACAGTACTTCCCCCAATGAAGCAGAAAGGCATCTCCTATCGATCCGCTGCCTATGCCAGCTCTCGAGCAGTAAGAACGGCATTTCTTGTTGTCTCAAGTGGCAAAAAGGTCCACTTGCGGGTGGCCCCATAGTTGGAAGAGGCCACGGACTACCTCATTGAGGAGCTCCCATTCGTGTTGGGAGTGGAAAGATCTGCTCAGTGTATCCGCGATGGTATTGCTCTTGCCCGGGAGGTAAGCAGCTTTGAGTGTGACGCCGTGGCAAATTGCCCATTTCCAAAGGCGTATTGATTCTGCACATAGGGTTCTGGATCTGGCTCCACCCTGGCGATTGATATAGTATACGGTGCAGATGTTGTCCGTAAGGATCTGTACTGAGGCACTTTGGATGTGATGAACAAAGTGACGGCATGCATTGAAGACTGCTCTGAGCTCCAGAAAGTTTATGTGGAGTAGGGCTTCTTGGTGAGACCATAGACCTTGGACCTGATGTTGTAGCATTTGAGCGCCCCAGCCCATGAGGGATGCGTCGGTGGTAATTTGTAGAGATGGAGCTCGAGCGCGGAATGAGACACCCACAAGCACCTTGGTCGGATCGAGCCACCACGTCAGTGAATCTTTGACGCGAGCAGGTATGGATGTCAACTTGTGTATAGCGGTGATGCCGGGACTGTGTACCATCTGGAGCCAGTGCTGCAGACACCGCATGTGGAGACGCGAATGTGCAACGATGTACGTTGTAGAAGCCATGTGGCCTAATAACTTCAGGCACGTGAGGAACGAGACCACCGGAGCGGTGCGCAGGACATTTACTAGGTCTTGGATGGCGTGGGCCTGTCCATGGGTAAGTACGCCCTGGGGGTTACAGAGTCTATCCTGGCCCCAATGAACTCGATGGATTGGGACAGAATCAGAGATGATTTTGGTAGGTTGATTACCAATCCTAGAGCTTCGAAGATGTCTCTCGCGACGGTAACTGCGGTTTCGATCTGTTGCATAGAAGGGGCCCTGAGTAGACAATCGTCGAGATAGGGGAAGATGGTGATGCCAGTGCATCGGAGGTATGCGGTTATAACTGCTAGGGTCTTTGAGAATACCCTGGGAGCCGCAGAAAGACCGAAAGGAAGTACAGCATAGTGGTAGTGGTCGGTGCCTAGGGTAAAACGTAGAAATCTCCTGTGTACCGGATGGATGGAGATATGAAAGTACGCGTCTTGGAGATCGAGGGACACGAATCAATCCCCCTGATGTAGTGATGGTATGATGGAACCCAAAGTAACCATTTTGAATTTTTGCTTCCGCAGGTAGCGGTTGAGGCCACGAAGGTCTAGAACTGGTCTCCAGCCGCCGGACTTCTTTCTCGTGAGAAAGTACCGGGAGTAGAAACCTTTGCCTCTGAAGTCGGAAGGAACCTCCTCCACTGCCCCAGTAGTAATTAGGCACGTGACCTCCTGGCGCAGTAGAAGGTCGTGAGAGGGGTCCCTGAAAAGGGACGGGGATGGCGAACCAACGGTGGTAGTAGGGCCTCAGGCAATACTGGAATAACTTGGTTACCTGCGGGTAGGGTTCCAACAGGGGTATGGCGCGCAGTACCTCGACAAGGGCGTCAAACCTGCTGTCAAGGTTATTGTTGATTGTGCGCCTTATTGGATTGTTGGCACCGTCGCTGAGGGAACTGCCTCTGCCTGTGTTGCTCGTATGGTCTAAAGCGTTGAGCAGTATAGGAGGAGGAAGGCCTCTGCCTGTTGTAGGGCCAAGCTCTCTTGCGCCTGAAAGGCGGGGTATACATGCCAAGGGTTCTCAACGTAGTTCGGGAATCCTTTCCCGAATGGAACACTTGATCGGTGTTCTACGCGAACAACGAGGCACACTCAAAGGGGAGGTCCTCCACCTTGGGTTGTAGGTCTTTGGGCACGGATGCCAGGTGTAGCCAAGAGGCGCGTCGCATGATGATAGACGTCGCCATAGTGCGGGAAGCGGAATCAACAATATCAAAAGAGATCTGGAGCGCGGTGTGGGCCGCTGTGTAACCCTCCTGCATGATAGATCTTAGTACCTCTCTCTTGGACTCCGGTAAATGATGTATGAGACGAGCCAACTTAGAGTAGTTGTCGAAATTGTGGTTAGCGAGCTGGGTGGAGTAGTTGGCCATTCTCAGGATAGCCGTAGCAGACTAATAGACCTTCCTGCCGAGGAGGTCCAGACTCTTCGCTTCCTTGTCCACTGCCGAATTTCTAGATTGTGTAGACTTTGCCTTTTATTGGGCAGCCTCAACAACGATGGAGTTGGGGGTGGGATGGGTGAAAAGAAATTCCGCATCCTTTGCATCAATAAAGTATTTCCTATCCGTGCGCTTGTTTGTAGGAGGCGCGGATGCTGGCGTCTGCCAGATGTCGTTGGAGATTTCAAGGACTGCCACATCGAAAGGAAGGGCCAGCTTTGACTTGATGGATTGTTGAAGATTCCTAAGGAGCGGTGCTTCCGAAGCATGTAGATTCTGGGAATAGGCGACCCTTTTAAAAAGCTCATGAAATTGTTTATAATCATCCACCAGAGAGGGCTCATTGTTAAAAACCGCATCATCTGGGGAGGAGGAGGAGAGGTCCGTCGGGGAACCTGTAGGTTGCTGGTCTGTCACTGGGGATTGAGGGGCGCCTCCATGTGAAGCGTCACCGGTGGGCATTGGAGGGCACTGCACCAGTGGATGGAGTCTTGGGTTTCTGGCTGTGATGAATATGATTGACGCTCTTGCAGAGACAAGGGTTGAGAGAGCCTTGTGGGAGAGAGTGAGCGGTCACGATAGTACGAGGTGTCTCGCCGATGGTGATAATCGTGGTGCGAGTAGACAGCTGAACATGAGGTAGCGCTCCTGCGATGGTGATCATACACGTGGGAGGGTGATCGTGGAGATCGTGAGCGACAGGAATAGTGAGATGGAGACCTCGAATAGTATGAGTAGCGGTAGCGTGGTGAGAAGGACCGTCTCGAGGATCGCCGGTAGTCCCGAGAGGGAGAATGACTGCAGTAATGTCGTCCCCTGTGACGAGGTGAGAGAGATGGCTCAGGAGAGAAGACTGCTCTGCCCGGGCTGGAGGAAGGTGTACGGACGTGGTGTGTTTTCCTCTGTGCCTTAGTTGGAATATTCTTAGGTGGAGGAGCCATTGAGACTGGGCTGCCCTGGACCAATATGACGGAGACAGAGTCGGATACATCCCCTAAAAGGTGTGGCAACCTTGGCACCGAGGTTGGGGATGGCGGTGCCGTATCCTCTCCTGATGCACCAATTTGTTGGGCCACGGGAGCTGGCTCCGCAGAGGTTGGTGCGACAGAGCTGTGCTGGTGTTCGCTCTGGCGTGGGGGTTGCTCCCCGCGCTTTGAATGAGGCCGGGCTGGTCTCGACACCGATTGCTTTCTCGGCGCTGGGTTGGATCTGCGCGCCTCCTGATCTCGGTTGGATATTGGTGCCGTTTTAGCTGATGGCGTGGTGCCGGCCGTCAGTGCCGACTCCCCCCTCGCTGGCAGGTATTTCGACGGTGCCGGTCAAGGTCCCAGTGCCGCGGGCGGCGCCGTGGTGGTAAGCGGTGCCACGTGGAGGCTCGGTGCCATAGATGACAGTGCCGACTCCGGGTGCGCTGCCGGTGCCGGTGGTACAGAGAGCGTGAGACTAGGCGCCGATGTACTGCGGGCTTTAAGAGCCTTATCTGCTCCCTGTCTGGGAGGGAAGCCCGATGAGCTCCGTGCTTCTCCTGCACTTACGCTCCTAGAGGAAGCGAAGCTTTTTCCGTCCCGAGACTAACGTGGGACTGAAGCCTCCCGTTGCTCAGTTGACGGGGGTTGGAGCGCCTTATTGAAAAGCAACATCTTCAGGCGCATTTCTCTGTCATGCCTAGCCCAAGCGGTCAGCTTAGAGCAGTGACCGCATTTTTGAGGGATGTGGCCTTCTCCCAGACAGCGGATGTAGCGGGAGTGGCCGTCCGAGGCAGGCATAGGGTCGGCGCAAGAGGCGCACTACTTGAAGCCTGGAGATCCGGGCATAATGGCGGCACTAGCTCTGTCTGCGGCCGTGGACGGTTAGGAGGAACTGGCGCGTCGGACCGCTCAACGCAGAAAAGAGCGCGAACGGCGCGAGGCACTTCTGCGCATGCGCGGTCCTTCAGAGGGGGCTACTGCTGGCAAAAACTCTCCAGTTTGCGGCGCCGGGACGAGCCCGACACCTTCAGTGGAGCACCCACGGGGACATCACTTGAAGAAGAACTGTTTTTTCAGTTGCTTTTTTATAAATCTATGGAGCATAGTCCACCATAGGTACTGAATGAGATTTCAGTCCTGTGGATATAATAGTATCATAATGCACCAGGACATTGAATTAAGGTTGTATGGGAATATAGTTTGTGTGTGTGTGTTAAAAATATAGCATGTAAGGTCAGGACTAAAATACAGATTAGCATGTAGCAAGCTAATGTTTTTATAGCAATGTGTTTAGAGAGGCTTCGTTACTTGTCATTCAATCAAATTACCTGAAATCCAAAATATACAGATATATTTAACATCTTACCTGCTTCTCTTTCCAAACTGATAGACGTTTCCTCATCCAACAAAATTAACCTGATTCCAAAACAAAGAGAATTGATCAGAGCACTAAGAAGCAAGATGTGCTGAAAATGTTAGTGGCTCAATGCTAGAGAGAGAATTAAGGCCTCTCTCTCATTTTAATTTTCATTTAGGTAACTGCAAGAATTTCAGTCAAGTAGTTTTGGATTAACACTGGTAAAAGTAAGAGGAAAATCTGGCAACTTGTCTCAAAATTAACAGCACTAAAGTGAAATCTTGAAATGGTTGAACTCTCAATAAGTGATCAGCACTTCTATAAACTAGCCAAGGGTATGTCTACACTACCACCCTAGTTTGAACTAGGGTGGTAATGTAGGCAACCAGAGTTGCAAATGAAGCCCAGGATTTGAATTTCCCGGGCTTCATTTGCATATAGCCGGGCGCCGCCATTTTTAAATGTCCGCTAGTGTGGACTCTGTGCCGCGCAGCTACACGCGGCATGGACTAGGTAGTTCAGACTAGGCTTCCTAGTCCGAACTACCGTTACTCCTCGTTTAGGAATAGGAATGGAGTCCACACTAGTGGACATTTAAAAATATTTTAACATATATACGCTAATAAACAAATTATCATAAAAGACAGTCTAATATGGCTAAGAGCGCTGACTTCAAACAATGATTTAGATGAGATAATGTTTTTGATAGAGGGAAAAAACAGAAAAAAAAATCAAGAAAATGCCAAAATGGAAAAAAATGAAAAAGATTTTAAAATGCAAGATGGAGAATAAAGTAAGTTTATATAATATTATTTATGAATCCTAGGAAGCAGAGACCCTCCTGTAATGCATACAGCAAACATGTTCAAAATGTGTGTTTTTAATTTTTTTACAATCTCACACCATTTTTCTTCCTGCTTACTTATCAACGTTGGCACTGATGGTGTCTTTCTCTGTCTTCTCCTTACGTGCTTCAGTGGGGTTGTTCAGGGAGGGCTCCTGTGGTTGAGATGTGGAGAAAATATATTTTAAAAGCAGGAACAGATGATATCTACAAATTCACCTCTCCCATCTAATGATTTGAACACAGTAATCTCTTATAGCAGTAACTTTTTTCTCAGTTACCTGCTTGTAACAACCATTTTTTGTAATTAAGAAATGTTGATTACACTTTATAAATGGGTGTAGCCATGGGTAGGCCTCTGTGGGTTGTGGCCCACTCACTTATTATGCAGGTCTCCTCCTACCCCGGCGCATGTCCTGTTCACCCTGCTGGTGCCCTTGCTGGAGAGCATGGTTGGGCTGTTGGAACTTGCCCATCCACCCAGGGCTTCTGCCAAGGTCCAGGATCAGGATGTGAGGCTTGCTCCACTCTGCCTGTCTAGTGCTCCAGCTGCAGAGCCAGGTCAGGGATTTGCCATGCTCCTCCTGCTCAGCGCTCTTGCTGGGGAGTGGGATCAGGCATAAGAGCTTGCAAGCCCCCAATCGTCATCTGAAGCACCAGAGTGGGGCAAGCCCCGGTGTGCCCAGACCCAGCTTCCTGGCAGAAGTGATGAGTGGGCAGAGCACGGCAAACCCCACAGCCTGCCCCTCTCTTCACTGCTGGAGCTGGGCAAGCCCCCGCAGTCCAACCCTGCTGTCCAGCATGAGTGCTGTAGCTGGGCAAATCCCAGTGCCTTGACCCTGTTCCCTGGTAAGAGTGCCAGGCAGAGCAGTGCAAGCCCCTGACTCTTATCCCCAGCTAGAGTGCTGGACAGAGGGGCTGTGCAAGTGGCGGTTCACTTTTCTTCAGCCTCCCTGCATTTTTCCAGGGCCTCTGGCCAGAGCATCTACCGGCCCCTTGAAAGATGGAGGGGAAGAGAGGTGGCCCCAATGGCTGCTACCCCCTGTCCTCGTGTAATTGCCCGCACACCTTAAATTAGGGCCCAGCCAAGTTTCCCAGTCTGCCTTCGATACTGATTTTATAATATTGCAACTGTACACACTGCGTTTACATGGATGCACTAAAGTTTTGGTCATATTGTATATAAAGATTCCATTTATAAATGATTTATATAGAGATTAATATATGTTATAGACATGCCACAGACATGAGTAGTATACATTGTGGTTATAAGCATGTCATTGGAGTTAAGTTATGGATAGCAATAAGCTAATAACTCTGTAATACTCTAATAATTGACATTTATAAATAATAAATCTAACATTTATTAAAATCACTTATTTATTAATCCCTTATATATTTTATACATCGAACCTTAACCAGAGGATTTTTTGGTTGTGTTATGCTTTTTACATAGAAAACAGATAAATGTACAACTTATCCATTTGACTTGCAAACTTGCAGAATGAGCATGGGGAATGGACTTGTTTGTGCCAGATTTGTCAGTAGTTTAATTCTAGAGAAATAAATTACAATTATTATATAATTTGAAATTTACTTCTCTGGAATTTTTTTTAATTTCCGGGAACCATATATCTAACAGAAATAAAATGAAAACTTCACCTTAAGTGCAAGAGAGAGATATGGGTGGACATCTATGAATTCCTCATGGATTTGGAACATCAATCCTGCTGTCTTCTTGCAGAAGTGCAAAAAGGTAATCTGAGAGGGACAAATTCCAAGCAGCTATTACACAGATTTACTTCTTACAGCTATTTATATTGTATTTCCCTGTCTCTTTTGACATAATCAATTTGTTCTTCCCAATCCCAACTATTCCATTTTAGTAAAATATTATATGTAAAGGATGTTTTGAGAAAGAAACGTGTAACTCTTGCATGTTTCACAGATGAAAGAATTGCTGCTAAAACTTCCAGGTATTGAGGTGGAGTGAACAGGACAGAGAGAGAAAATAGAAAAGTTCACTAGGTTGAAATAGAATCTTCTGTTGAGAGAGAGATTGGAATGGAGGATTTTTCTCTGTACAAGGTATTTTTTGGAATGATTTTGCAAAACTTCTGTCATTATTTTTATTTCAACAAGGATGAAAATATATATAAAGATGGACATACTGCTCTTACAAGAAGCCCTAAAATGTGCAAGATTCTCCATTTTGAGGGTTCCTGCCAGAAGCATGCTTACTTATAAAACTCTCAAATGCCAGCATATATGCAGTGAGCAGCAACCTAGGGATGGACAGGAGAGACTTGAGACTCACTGATTTATCAGTCTGT